TTTTTTAGCTGGAGAAAATACTAGTGTTCTAATCATTTTGGCCACCACTGTAATGAAAACCATAGTAATTGAACTACAGTACTTTAGGTAGCATTTAGGTCATATGTGATCTTGCTCATTTTTAACCTGTATTTCACGTATCAGGTGAAGGAAAACAACTACAGAGGGCATGGAGACAGTGTGGATCAGCTGTGCTGGCATCCCACCAACCCTGATCTGTTCGTCACCGCATCAGGAGACAAGACCATCCGCATCTGGGACGTACGGACCACCAAATGCATGGCCACGATCAGCACCAAAGGTGAAGCACTGAACCTATCCATCATATCTGTTGATCTTATGAGGTTTATTCATATGTGGGATTTTCTCCGACAACTTTTAGGGGAGAATATCAACATATGTTGGAGTCCTGATGGTCAGACCATTGCTGTCGGTAACAAGGATGATGTTGTGACTTTTATTGATGCCAAAACACACCGTCCCCGTGCCGAGGAGCAGTTCAAGTTTGAGGTCAATGAGATCTCCTGGAATAATGACAATGACATGTTCTTCCTGACAAACGGAAACGGATGTATTAATATATTAAGGTATGTTTGGTGGTAGTTGTAAGAGGCTGTTGGTGTGCAGAATATTTTGGTGATTTCTTTAAATCAGTTGTCATGTTTATGTCTTTGTTTCAGTTATCCTGATCTCAAGCTCATTCAGTCAATTAATGCCCATCCGTCCAACTGCATCTGCATTAAATTCGATCCCACGGGCAAGTATTTTGCCACCGGAAGTGCGGATGCGCTGGTCAGTCTGTGGGATGTGGAGGAGCTGGTGTGTGTGCGCTGCTTCTCCAGGTCAGTTCGTCATGACTTTGTCAGAATTTGACTTTTTAGCTCATAATTATGACTTGGTATGTCATCATTTTGACTTTTCATCTCATAGCTTTTACATTTTATGTCATAAAGACATTTTAAAATGAAGAATTGTGTTTCATAATCATGGCTTTTTGACATACTTTTGACTTCTCTCATAATTTGGGCTTTTTATCTCATAAATATGACTTGGTATGTCATTTTCACTTTATCTCATAGCTTTTATATTTTATGGCAAAGACTTTATGAAATAAGTTTTTGAAACAAAGATGGCTTTTTGTCATAATTTTGACTACTTATCTCATAATTATGAGATATAAAGTGCAAATTATGGTTTAGACTTCTGAAATAGTCAAAATTAATGACTTTTTATCCCATAGTTTTTACTTTGTGTCATAAACACTTTTAAAATTGACCTTTGAAAAAAAAAAAAAAAAGACTTGTTTGGATTTATCCATTTTTACTACATATCAATTTTTTTACTTTGTCATAATTTCTCTATTAATTTTGCCATGTGTCATAATTTTGACAATTTCATAATTTATTTTCTAGGTCGGTTGATGCAGTGTTGTTGTTATTATTAGCTAAAACAATTAAAACTGAAATCAGTCTGAAATAAAATAAAGTTTAGATGGAAACAACATAAATTAGAAATGTTGCCTTGGCAGCTAACAAAAATAAAATGACTAAGACTGAGAAATAAAGCTAAACATAATAATAACAAAAATAGCGAAATATAAAATTACAAGCTAATTCAAAATATTAAGAATATAGTTAACAATATTATTAATTATCATTGTTTTAATTGTAACACATTCACTGTAACAAAAACGGAGATGGAAAAAGCTGTATGTAAATTCTGTGATAAGTGATTATTATTTTTTTTGGTCACTTTCAGTTCCTCAAAGATGAAAGTTCGTTGATTGTAGTTTGTTGACACAACTCATTTGCCATATTTTCATTACATATAATAGTATTTTCACAATTTTTCTGAATCCCACAGACTCGACTGGCCTGTGCGGACGCTTAGTTTCAGTCATGATGGGAAAATGCTGGCGTCAGCTTCTGAGGATCATTTCATTGACATTGCTGAAGTAGAGACGGGTGAGCAGACACATTTTAAAATGATGGGGAAAGCTTGAATTGTGTTTTCTGTCTGACTGATGTTTGTTGTTGTGTGTTCTTGCTGTAGGTGAGAAGCTCTGGGAGATTCAGTGCGAGTCTCCGACCTTTACTGTAGCGTGGCATCCGAAGAGACCTCTGCTGGCGTACGCCTGCGACGATAAAGAGGGCAAATATGACAGCAACCGAGAGGCAGGGACCGTCAAGCTCTTTGGACTTCCCAATGACTCCTGAGGACCAGAGGTTTCACGTGTTCAGGCTTTGAGGTTTAATGGCTGCTTCACTTGATATTATTGCTTTGTATTAGATTTGAAGTTAATGCTGTAAAATAGTTCAAAGATATTTTGATGTTCAGCTCTCATATTACTTGAGTTCCTGAATGATCAAGGTATCAGTTGCAAGCATAAATAACTACTGCCAGCAGCTCCTCTGCAGAACATAAGAATTATGTTCATCTTTTTCCAAAAATTGGCCTGGTGACGTGGATGGAAGTCTAATCTGAGCGGTGTTATCACATCTGTGTAGATGACTTGAAAATAATTTGACTTGCAGAGCATGCTGTTGTTGTTTCCCATACTTGAGCATTGCCATTTTGTAAAAAAAAAAAAAAAGAATTTA